GAGAGACCAAAGAGAGACTAGAGAGGGACCAGAAAGGGACCAGAGAGAGACCAGAGAGTGAGAACAGAGGAAGGCCATTCCAGAATTTGTGTATTGTTTTTCTGAAACCGTTTAAGTGGATTTGCCTTGTGCAATATAAATAAAAGTGCGTATCTCTGTGTGTGTGTGTGTGTGCACTTGTTTTCAACTCCTGGTGGGTTCCATAACCTGAGATTCCACTCACATCATGGGGACTGGTTTTACGTGGTGGGGCCCGAACACCGGACCCCACTGGTCCAAGCTTAACTCATTCACTGCCCATGACGACAAAAGTCGTTCTATTGTATAGTGACGCTCACTGCCCAAGACGACTTAGACGACTTTTTCATGTTATTACACGGGAGGCTACAGTAATGTCTGGCGCACCTTGTGAATGACCCACAACACTGATATATAGTGCAAATGTACCTGTAATGATAAATCAACACCAGTAGGATGCAGTATTGCACCACAGGAGAGGTCATAAGTCAGTGGAGAGGAGGAGGAGGAGTGTGGGGTCTTTGGAGAGCGTGCTGCTGTAGCAGAGCGAGCAATGATAGCGTAGCATTGAGACAGATCAGTGATCTAGTTTAGCGATAGTATAGCAAGAGTGATGGCGAAAAAGAATAGTTATAAGCAGCTGACACTGCTTCAGAGATTGACTCGCGGATCAGTGAGTGAGGTCGAGAGGGGAGAGAGCGGAGACCCCGGTGGAGGTCCGTCTCTGCAGCCACATTTGCGCGGAGCAAGAGCCCCGAGCAGAGACACACCCTCCGCCTCTCCAGCGTATCAGCTGCTGCTGTTACTGATGCCTCGGATTCGTTCAGCAAACCTGATCATGATTTATCGGATGAGTGGTTGCAGTCTCAATCCAGCAGAGCATCCTCTCCAGAAGCTCCACAAAGAGTCGAAGGTAAGAACTTGCTAAATTGCCTAGAATATGCTAACTTGAGAGGAGGGAAAGGCGCGGAAACTTGCTCTGATCTGCAAAGTAACACAGCGCTCAAATCCTACTGTTTCTTTAGTAAATGCCAGTTATTCGTTTTATCATTGTTGTATTTATTATTTTTATTTTTAGTTATTTCATACTTGAACATCTTGTTGCAGTGACATAGCTCTGACTAAATGAAATGTGTCCATTCACAGATTCTGATTAAAAAGCCCTCCCCCATTGGGTTGACAGAGCATGGAGGTAAAGATGATTCCTCCTCATACCATAGTACATATTATTGTATATATTCTCCTGGTATAGTGATTTACAAATTTATATTATTTACAGGTGGTGCATCAAGAGGCAGTTACTGTGCACAAAAAAGGTAAAAGAACTACTATTTCTATTCTTGTACATCTCATGGCAATATAATATAATAATAATATAGTATACTGTGTTTGGTCCAAAAGTAGTCAGTCGATAATGTGGGAGGATGGCCTTCATTGTATTTTATGTATTGATTTATTGTAACAAATTCACTGTATAATATAGTTATTGTGTGTATCCATTTTCCAGCACGTTCGTCACCCAGAAGCTCTGGGGAAGATGGCTGACAGGAGGATCAGTGGGAGCCGAGTCAGTCCCTTCACAGGAGCTCCTGGACCACAGAGGCTGCGGACAGAGGCTGCGAAGCTGGATTCATCTGATCCAGACTTTCTGGAGCTGGATTCATCTGATCCAGACTTTCTGGAGCTGGATTCATCTGATCCAGACTTTCTGGAGCTGGATTCATCTGATCCAGACTTTCTGGAGCTGGATTCATCTGATCCATACTTTCTGGAGCTGGATTCATCTGATCCATACTTTCTGGAGCTGGATTCATCTGATCCAGACTTTCTGGAGCTGGATTCATCTGATCCAGACTTTCTGGAGCTGGATTCATCTGATCCAGACTTTCTGGAGCTGGATTCATCTGATCCAGACTTTCTGGAGCTGGATTCATCTGATCCATACTTTCTGGAGCTGGATTCATCTGATCCAGACTTTCTGGAGCTGGATTCATCTGATCCAGACTTTCTGGAGCTGGATTCATCTGATCCATACTTTCTGGAGCTGGATTCATCTGATCCAGACTTTCTGGAGCTGGATTCATCTGATCCAGACTTTCTGGAGCTGGATTCATCTGATCCAGACTTTCTGGAGCTGGATTCATCTGATCCAGACTTTCTGGAGCTGGATTCATCTGATCCATACTTTCTGGAGCTCTTCTTCACGGAGGGAGAACTACAAATGGTACACAGCGTGTCGTGTTCCGTTGCACACAGTGTTTCAACCTCTACAACTCAAAGCTGAACTACTGGGAGGACTGAAAAGCAGATAAACTCACTCATACACACACTCACGAACACTCACACGCACTCACTCACTCACTCACGCACACAGACACTCACTCGCACACTGACATTCACACACACTGACACTCACTCACACAGACACTCACTCGCACACTGATATTCACACACACAGACACTCACTCACACAGACACTCACTCGCACACTGACATTCACACACACTGACATTCACACACACTGACATTCACACACACTGACATTCACACACACTGACATTCACACACACTGACATTCACACACACTGACATTCACACACACTGACATTCACACACACAGACACTCACTCACACAGACACTCACTCGCACACTGACATTCACACACACACACACACACACTCAAATTCACATGCTTCATTCTATTTTATACATCTATAGTTTTATTGATCTTTGTGTTGTTGTTGTTTGACGTTTTGGTTGATGGTATAGAAGAAAGTTAAATTTTCTATCTGTGAATAAATTGCCAACAATTTGCCATCAAAAGTATTATTTCAGAGTCATGTTTTTATATTTTTTGTAATGGAACAAGTGTGAAGATGTTTTGAGTTGTCACTAAAGCAGCAAAAATGCACCTAAAAGTCTCTTTTCTGCTTGATATGTTCCTGTTTACATGCAGCTCGTTTTCTCTGTTTTCTTGCTCAGACCAGGTGTTATGGGTGAAAGTATGCTTTGTTCTATGGCGAATAGCTCAAGAATGGTAAGAGGTAGAAACAAACTGTTTTTTTCAGAGTAAAGCAGAGAGGTTAATCTTTAATTTGGTGTTTACATCGTCTAAAAAATGAATATTCTGTGGCACTTCAAAGTTGGGTCAAATCACCTGAAATTGTTGGCAGAATGCACTTCTCAAATCTGAAAATGCCTGGCAGTCAGTGAGTTAATAATCAATGGGTAATGCTTTTCTAACGGTCCTTATGCGGAATATCAAGGAGGGGCACACCGGGGCAATTTCAGTCCAGCAGGCTGGAGCCAATCATGGAGCAGCACAACAGAGGCTGGAGCCAATCATGGAGCAGCACAACAGAGGAAATCAGGTGTCAGGCTAGAAAAGGTGCAAGTGTGTGGTTCATTAGGCTGCAAGAAATCATGGAGGAGCACACTGAAGCGCACGCTTACAAACCACTGGTAAGTGCTGACTACAAGTCATGACTTCAAATTGTTATATAGAATGATTACAAATTATTTGTTGTTTGTGCAGCTTAGTCAAGAGTCCCTAATTGATGAAGTCGACTCAGATTCTGACGATTTAACTGTCAAGAAGAAACCTGTAAAAAAGTATGGAAAAAGAAAAATCAAAAACACTTTTCTTCAAGACTCGGAAAGTGACGAACCAAAGGCAAATAAGATTGTTATCATGCAGCTGCAAAAGAAGAAAAATGGGGGGCGAGTTTACAGCAAGAGACACTTCTGCCTCTACTGTTCAATGTCCTGCCACAAAATGTCCCGTCATTTGACTAGAAAACATGGAAATGAAAGTGACGTAGCCAGAGCATTGGCTCTACCTGTGAAATCTAAAGCACGTAAACTTCAGTTTGATTTGATCAGGAATAGTGGAAACCGTGAGCACAATTTTGAGGTTTTAAAGGCCGGCATTGGAACTTTAGTCCCAGCTAAACAGCTGGTCATTATTTTCAATCGAAGAAGGGAAGGTGAGGTTTCAAAGATGCCACTGACAGCCTTTACCTTAAGAAGTAAGACTGGGATCCATTCTGACATTGCTCTGGGACTGTCCCAACTTGAGAAAAAGCTGTGTCAGCATTTTCAACGCATTGAAATTAAAGGGAAAAGAAGTCGGAAAGTGGTGGTTCTTTTGACTCCTGAAATGATTGCTTCGATGGAGGTGCTGGTGGAGAACAGAAGGGCCTGTTCCATCTCTGACCATAACCCATACTTCTTTTCCCGCCCGGGCGCAGACACCCACATCAGGGGATCAGACTCCCTACGCCAGGTAGCCAAAGAATGTGGTGCGGTGCATCCAGAGATGCTATCCTCAACCAAACTTAGAAAGCACATAGCTACTATGTCTACAGTTCTCAATATGAAAGAGAATGAATGGACATACTTGCCAACTTCCTCGGCCATGACATTCGCATCCACAGGCAATATTACAGACTACCAGAGGGGACACTGGAGCTGGCCAAAATCAGCAAAGTGTTGATGGCCATGGAGCAGGGAAGAGTGACGGAATTCGAAGGAAAGAGCCTCGACCAGATACAAATTGAGCCTGAAGGTAATTCTTGATATTATTAAAATATGTATGATTTTTTTCCCCTAAAGGCCACTTGTATTTTTATTTTCTGTGCGACAGGGAGAGCAGTAGAGATCCTCTCACAAACGGACGGGCTAAAAGAAACTTCAAGCGGAGAACCTTCAACCATTCATCCAGATGCACCCCATGGTAGTGGCAGTGCCCCTTCTGGTAAGTGTACCAGGTGGGGGATTACAGCCAGGCTGCTTGGTCCTAACCCTGGGAGTGTATATTGCTAATATATTTTTATTTCTCTCCCTAGAACGTTAGAGAAAGCCATGGTCTGCATCTGAGGTGAAGGCTGTGGAGAAGACCATGACACCTTTCATACAGACTGGAAAGGTCCCTGGGAAGTCTCACTGCCTGGCCTGGCCTGGCCTGGCCTGCATTAATGCCTCACCAGATGACCTTAGACATCGGACATGGAGTGGCATTAAATTCTATGTCAAAAATAGAATCACTGCAATTCGAAAAAAAAATCTAAAATAAAATTCCTTTAAAAGAGTTGTTTGGTTTCTATTGACTGTTTTGTATTACTTAAAGTAGTCCCAGTAAAAAAAGATTATGTCTATGGGTCCCATTCTGAACGGCCCTGTCAAAGGGACCCACCAGGTAACAAAAACGTGTATGTGTGTGTCTGTGTGTGTGTGTGTGTGTGTGTGTCTGTGTGTGTGTCTGTGAGTGTCTGTGTGTCTGTGTGTGTGTCTGTCTGTGTGTGTCTATGTCTGTGTCTGTGTGTGTGTGTCTCACCTTTGACCTCTTGACCCCAGGTTCACCGTGGATCCCTGAAAACACAGTTTCACTCTGAGCACCTCCTGCAGGAGGAGCAGGAGCACCTACTCCTGAAGGAGCAGGACCACCTCCTGCAGGAGGAGCAGGACCACCTCCTGCAGGAGGAGCAGGAGCACCTACTCCTGAAGGAGCAGGACCACCTCCTGCGTGTTCTGTGTTTGTGATTCTAATGTTTTATAAATTCTTTGGGGCAAGTCCAAAACCTCCATGAGCTCGTGCTGACTGCAGTACCACCCCAGGCCTGTGGGGGTGTACCCGGAAAGAGAATTATCCAATGCTTTTGTATGACGTCTTCTTTCCTCTTGGTCCAAAAGTGGCTCTTGGTCCAAAAGTGGCTCTTGGTCCAAAAGTCTAGTTTAGCCGCTGTGGACTTTTGAATGCACTCGTTAACGGTTAAATGAATGGGGCTAATGTGTTTTTACACATTTTCCTGAGGGAGGAGCTGCGGCCATTTTGAAAAAGCCACAGATAGAAAATGTGATGTCACATTACATAAACTTGACTATGGCTTTAATATCGTGTGTAAAGGTAAAGGTGCACTTTATTAATCCACTTCCTCCTCTGCATTTGACCCAGATGCCCTGAGGCTTAGGTCAGGAGCAGTGGTTGCCGTAGTAACAGCGCCCGGAACCATCTGCAGACGTTGATGCTTTGGGTCAGGACCAGAGCTGGAGGATTTAACCTAGTGGACTGCCACCTTACCATGGGGGAGGAGTCTGAGGACTCCGATGGTCCTGGGAGCTTTGCTGTCTGGGGCTTTATGCTCCTGGTAGGGTCTTCCATGGTACACAGGGCTTTATGCTCCTGGTAGGGTCTCCCATGGTACACAGGGCTTTATGCTCCTGGTAGGGTCTCCCATGGTACACAGGGCTTTATGCTCCTGGTAGGGTCTCCCATGGTACACAGGGCTTTATGCTCCTGGTAGGGTCTCCCATGGTACACAGGGCTTTATGCTCCTGGTAGGGTCTCCCATGGTACACAGGGCTTTATGCTCCTGGTAGGGTCTCCCATGGTACACAGGGCTTTATGCTCCTGGTAGGGTCTCCCATGGTACACAGGGCTTTATGCTCCTGGTAGGGTCTCCCATGGTACACAGGGCTTTATGCTCCTGGTAGGGTCTCCCATGGTACACAGGGCTTTATGCTCCTGGTAGGGTCTCCCATGGTACACAGGGCTTTATGCTCCTGGTAGGGTCTCCCATGGTACACAGGGCTTTATGCTCCTGGTAGGGTCTCCCATGGTACACAGGGCTTTATGCTCCTGGTAGGGTCTCCCATGGTACACAGGGCTTTATGCTCCTGGTAGGGTCTCCCATGGTACACAGGGCTTTATGTCCCTGGTAGGGTCTCCCATGGTACACAGGGCTTTATGCTCCTGGTAGGGTCTCCCATGGTACACAGGTCTTTATGCTCCTGGTAGGGTCTCCCATGGTACACAGGTCTTTATGCCCCTGGTAGGGTCTCCCATGGTACACAGGTCTTTATGTCCCTGGTAGGGTCTCCCATGGTACACAGGGCTTTATGTCCCTGGTAGGGTCTCCCATGGTACACAGGGCTTTATGTCCCTGGTAGGGTCTCCCATGGTACACAGGGCTTTATGTCCCTGGTAGGGTCTCCCATGGTACACAGTTCTTTATGCTCCTGGTAGGGTCTCCCATGGTACACAGGTCTTTATGTCCCTGGTAGGGTCTCCCATGGTACACAGGTCTTTATGCTCCTGGTAGGGTCTCCCATGGTACACAGGGCTTTATGTCCCTGGTAGGGTCTCCCATGGTACACAGTTCTTTATGCTCCTGGTAGGGTCTCCCATGGTAAGATAAGATAAGATAAGATGTGCTTTATTTATCTCCCAGAGGAGAAATGTACATGTCACATTAGGCACGGAGAGAACACTCAGATTGTGCAAAAGGAGGAAATGTGCAAACATGTTACATGCAGGATATATGTGCAATAAAGTGACAATAATTATGTGCAACAAAAGTGACAAGTGTCAATTGGAAACAGTGTCAATAGTAGTGCAGGTTTTCACACAGTGATCATTTAAAGTGACTTATTGTACAGTCTGACAGCAGTGGGGATAAAGGCCCTGCTCCTTCCTACACTGAGGGTGTCTCAGTCTTCCACTGAAGGAGCTCCTCAGCTCCTCTACAGTCCTGTGCAGTGGGAGGTGTTGTTCATGATGGAGGTGGCTATGGCTAGCACATCGGTCTCAGGTGGATAGCACTAAAAGAGAACCAGTGACGTCGCCCGGCATGGAGCAGCCGGGGCCCCCACCCTGGAGGGGGAAGCAGCTCTAACCGTCCGGTGCCACAGGAGTAGGAAACAGACGGTGGAAGGAATTTTTCGAGGTTCTCCTCAATCGTCACGTCCTCCGCCCCGGAGGCCGAGGCAGAGGCAGAGACAGAGACAGAGACAGAGACAGAGGCAGAGACAGAGGCAGAGGCAGAGGCAGAGGCAGAGGCAGAGGCAGAGGCAGAGGCAGAGACAGAGACATAGACAGAGACAGAGACAGAGACAGAGGCAGAGGCAAGAGGCAGAGACAGAGGCAGAGACAGAGACAGAGGCAGAGGCAGAGACAGAGGCAGAGGCAGAGGCAGAGGCAGAGACAGAGACAGAGGCAGAGGCAAGAGGCAGAGGCAGAGGCAGAGGCAGAGACAGAGGCAGAGACAGAGACAGAGACAGAGGCAGAGGCAGAGACAGAGGCAGAGGCAAGAGGCAGAGACAGAGACAGAGACAGAGGCAGAGGCAGAGACAGAGGCAGAGGCAGAGGCAGAGGCAGAGACAGAGACAGAGGCAGAGGCAAGAGGCAGAGGCAGAGGCAGAGGCAGAGACAGAGGCAGAGGCCGAGGCAGAGGCAAGAGGCAGAGACAGAGGCAGAGGCAGAGGCAGAGGCAGAGACAGAGGCAGAGGCAGAGACAGAGGCAGAGGCAGAGACAGAGGCAAGAGGCAGAGACAGAGACAGAGGCAAGAGGCAGAGACAGAGGCAAGAGGCAAGAGGCAGAGACAGAGACAGAGACAGAGACAGAGACAGAGGCAGAGGCAGAGGCAGAGGCAGAGACAGAGGCAGAGGCAAGAGGCAGAGACAGAGGCAGAGGCAGAGGCAGAGACAGAGGCAGAGGCAGAGGCAGAGACAGAGACAGAGACAGAGGCAGAGGCAGAGACAGAGGCAGAGACAGAGACAGAGACAGAGACAGAGGCAGAGGCAGAGACAGAGACAGAGGCAGAGGCAGAGGCAGAGGCAGAGGCAGAGGCAGAGGCAGAGGCAGAGGCAGAGGCAGAGACAGAGGCAGAGGCAGAGGCAGAGGCAGAGGCAGAGGCAGAGACAGAGACAGAGACAGAGACAGAGACAGAGGCAGAGACAGAGACAGAGACAGAGGCAGAGGCAGAGGCAGAGACAGAGACAGAGACAGAGACAGAGACAGAGGCAGAGACAGAGACAGAGACAGAGACAGAGACAGAGGCAGAGGCAGAGACAGAGACAGAGACAGAGGCAGAGGCAGAGGCAGAGGCAGAGACAGAGACAGAGACAGAGACAGAGACAGAGACATAGACAGAGGCAGAGGCAGAGGCAGAGGCAGAGACAGAGGCAGAGACAGAGAGAGAGACAGAGGCAGAGACAGAGGCAGAGACAGAGAGAGAGACAGAGGCAGAGACAGAGGCAGAGACAGAGACAGAGACAGAGACAGAGACAGAGACATAGACAGAGGCAGAGACAGAGACAGAGGCAGAGACAGAGACATAGACAGAGACATAGACAGAGACATAGACAGAGGCAGAGACAGAGACAGAGACAGAGACAGAGGCAGAGACAGAGGCAGAGACAGAGAGAGAGACAGAGGCAGAGACAGAGAGAGAGACAGAGGCAGAGGCAGAGACAGAGACAGAGACAGAGACATAGACAGAGGCAGAGACAGAGACAGAGACAGAGACATAGACAGAGACATAGACATAGACAGAGGCAGAGGCAGAGACAGAGGCAGAGACAGAGGCAGAGGCAGAGACAGAGACAGAGGCAGAGGCAGAGACAGAGACAGAGACAGAGACAGAGGCAGAGGCAGAGACAGAGACAGAGGCAGAGGCAGAGACAGAGGCAGAGACAGAGACAGAGGCAGAGACAGAGGCAGAGACAGAGGCAGAGACAGAGACAGAGGCAGAGGCAGAGACAGAGAGAGAGACAGAGGCAGAGGCAGAGACAGAGACAGAGACAGAGGCAGAGGCAGAGACAGAGGCAGAGGCAGAGGCAGAGACAGAGACAGAGACAGAGACAGAGGCAGAGACAGAGACAGAGGCAGAGGCAGAGACAGAGGCAGAGACAGAGACAGAGACAGAGGCAGAGACAGAGACAGAGGCAGAGGCAGAGGCAGAGACAGAGACAGAGGCAGAGACAGAGGCAGAGACAGAGAGAGAGACAGAGACAGAGACAGAGGCAGAGACAGAGACAGAGACAGAGACAGAGACAGAGACAGAGACAGAGGCAGAGGCAGAGACAGAGACAGAGGCAGAGGCAGAGACAGAGGCAGAGGCAGAGGCAGAGACAGAGACAGAGACAGAGGCAGAGGCAGAGACAGAGAGAGAGACAGAGGCAGAGAGAGAGACAGAGACAGAGGCAGAGGCAGAGACAGAGACAGAGGCAGAGGCAGAGACAGAGACAGAGACAGAGACAGAGACAGAGGCAGAGGCAGAGGCAGAGGCAGAGGCAGAGACAGAGACAGAGGCAGAGACAGAGACAGAGACAGAGACAGAGGCAGAGACAGAGACAGAGACAGAGGCAGAGGCAGAGGCAGAGGCAGAGGCAGAGGCAGAGACAGAGACAGAGGCAGAGGCAGAGGCAGAGACAGAGACAGAGACAGAGGCAGAGGCAGAGGCAGAGGCAGAGACAGAGGCAGAGGCAGAGACAGAGAGACAGAGACAGAGAGAGAGAGAGACAGAGACAGAGACAGAGGCAGAGACAGAGACAGAGGCAGAGGCAGAGACAGAGACAGAGACAGAGACAGAGGCAGAGACAGAGGCAGAGGCAGAGACAGAGACAGAGACAGAGACAGAGACAGAGGCAGAGGCAGAGGCAGAGGCAGAGGCAGAGACAGAGACAGAGACAGAGACAGAGGCAGAGGCAGAGACAGAGGCAGAGGATGTTGGGGCGGATCCTTCCTCTCCCTGAGGTCACGGTGGTTGGCCGCCTCCTGAAGGCTCCAGGAGAGGAGGAGGTCCTGACTTTGAAGTCTCTGACACGTCTCTGCAACATCCGACCGGGATTTGAACCCAGGACCTTCTTGCTGAGAGAGTGCTAACCACTCAACCACCGTGCCGCCAGCTGTGTCTGTGTGTGTGTGTCTGTGTCTGTCTGTCTATGTCTGTGTGTGTGCGTCTGTGTCTGTCTGCCTGTCTGTCTGTGTGTGTCTGTCTGTGTGTCTGTGTGTGTCTGTGTGTGTTACCGAGTCCCAGTTCCATGTGTCCTGCTGGCAGATCAAATGAGGGCCCAGAACCAGGAACTGAGCAGGAGGAGAGAGCCACCCCCATGGTCCCTACAGCGGAACCATCAAAACACCATCAACATGTACCAGGACTAAAGCAGGACTAAAGCAGGACTAAAGCAGGACTAAAGCAGGACTAAAGCAGGACTAAAGGAGGACTAAAGCAGGTCTAAAGCAGGTCTAAAGCAGAACTAAAGGAGGACTAAAGCAGGACTAAAGGAGGACTAAAGCAGGACTAAAGCAGGTCTAAAGCAGGTCTAAAGCAGGTCTAAAGCAGGACTAAAGCAGGACTAAAGCAGGACTAAAGCAGGACTAAAGCAGGACTAAAGCAGGACTAAAGCAGGACTAAAGCAGGTCTAAAGCAGAACTAAAGCAGGACTAAAGCAGGACTAAAGCAGGTCTAAAGCAGGACTAAAGCAGGACTAAAGCAGGACTAAAGCAGGACTAAAGCAGGACTAAAGCAGGTCTAAAGCAGAACTAAAGCAGGACTAAAGCAGGACTAAAGCAGGATTAAATCAGGACTAAAGCAGGTCTAAAGCAGGTCTAAAGCAGGTCTAAAACAGGACTAAAGCAGCAGGACTAAAGCAGGTCTAAAGCAGGTCTAAAGCAGGTCTAAAGCAGGTCTAAAGCAGGACTAAAGCAGGAATAAAGCAGGTCTAAAGCAGGTCTAAAGCAGGTCTAAAGCAGGACTAAAGCAGGACTAAAGCAGGACTAAAGCAGAACTAAAGCAGGTCTAAAGCAGGTCTAAAGCAGGTCTAAAGCAGCACTAAAGCAGGTCTAAAGCAGGTCTAAAGCAGGTCTAAAGCAGGACTAAAGCAGGACTAAAGCAGGTCTAAAGCAGGTCTAAAGCAGGACTAAATCAGGTCTAAAGCAGGTCTAAAGCAGGTCTAAAGCAGGACTAAAGCAGGTCTTAAGCAGGTCTAGAGTTTGCCAGTTGGAACAGACCGATGTCCTTCAGTGCTGCGCTCACGGTCTGAAAGATGTGGTCCAGGGACCTGCCCTCCTCTGACAGCGCTCCGGCCAACTGCAGGGATCAATATGTACCATTAGTCTCCAAGGACCAGGATCAGGACCAGGACCAGGCCCAGGATCGAATCCTTTTATTGCCATGTGAGTAACAGGAAGTCACAAACGAGGAGATGTCTTTGGCTCTCGGTGCGAACACGTTAAATCAGAATAAGATCAAAGGCAGAAATATAAATCTACATAAATGTGTTCAGTTTACTGTATACTCTATTTCTATAAATAAATGATATATATATATATATATATATATATATATATATATATCGCACGTTAATTCATTTTTTTCATTAATTGCGTTAAAAAAATTAACGCATTTGACGCATGCCCATGCGTCCCATAATAACACTCAGAATGCCGCGGACACATGCGTGTGTAAGATGGGACAGAGCAGGTCTCTGGGAATTCAAGTTTTGAAAGAATACAGGTGTGACCGCGGGGCACTTGTTGTTTCCTGTATAAACTCTGCATGATGAGCTGCGGGCGCCACAGCGCTCTGGACAGGTCCCACTTCCAGCGGCTGTGATGACGGCGAACGGCGCTGCGTAATGGGATCATATCCAAGACCACGCACAGAACTATTACAGAACTATTCTCTAGTGTGCGTACGTGTCTTTGTGTAACCGATGCACACAATATGTACAGCGCTGAAGCTGGACTGCGGAGCCTCAGTCTCCTCCGTGTCTTCTCCCAAAGCGCACTCGCTAAATTAAAGCTGAGGTACCTAATTTTCCTTTCGACTACCAGTTCATGTTAGTTGTGCCAAAAAAAGTAATGGTGTGAGCAAATCAAACAGATTTAATGACATTCTGCTTCAGACTATTTGAAATGTCCCTCATCTGAGTCTAAACAGAAAGACAGAATGTTAATAATGTTAATTCCATTCCATACATATGTTCACTAAGCTGTCATTTATCTTTCCATTCAAACAACAATTTACAGAAAAATATGGCATCATTTTGCCAATAGTTTGAAATGCGATTAATTACGATTAATGAATTTTTAAGCTGTAATTAACTCGATTAAAAAAAATAATCGTTTGACAGCCCTAATATATATATATATATATATACTGTATATATATATATAGTTGGACCTACACATCCCTCTGTGTAGTTTTGAAGAGAATGTTGTAATCCCACTCCCAATCACATGATGGCGATCTCACAGGAGTTGCCTGAGAAACCAAAGCGGTCTCATTTATGCTGCTTCTTTCTCCTCTTCAGAACAAAAACAAAGTGAAGCTGAGATCATTACATGTGTTTCTACTGCAGGTTTATGTGACCGTTCTAAACTCATCTTTTCAACTCATTTAACTGTGATGCTGTGAATAAAGACACAGTTCTGTTGGAAACATAGTTATTATTATTATATATATTATTACTATATTACAGTGATTATTAACCCTTCAAGGTCTAAGCTCATTTTGGGGAACTTTCCTCGCCTGGTTTTCTTTGTGTATAATTGCTCATAAAACAGTCATCTTGTGATGCAGAGTCAAGCAGTAAACTTTGTTTTTTTCAGTACAACCTGTGGATTTATAATATTCATAGTGTACAGCTGTCATATGAATTATATAAAAAATATGGAATCATGAAGACAAAGAAAAAAATGAAACGGAAATTCAATTTCACCAAAATGTTTTGAAAAACACAATGAAATGTTATTGCTAACTTTTTACACTGTATAGAAATGTTATTTAGGGTCTTGGGGTTGATGGGGAAAAAAATTGAACCTGTGACTATTATAATTTTTACAAAATTCCACTACAAGTGAAAAAAACGCTGTACTCCTGATGCCCTTCCTGAAGCAGTTTGTCTATGTCTATATATTGCTTCAGTATCACAGCTGTAAGATATGCAAAACAAAAAAACTAAGAAAACAAAGAAAGAAAAACAACATCTTATATTTATATACATCATATACACATCATATCATTATACTGTATTTATCGATGTCAATAATAAATATATAATATAATTACATCAATAATGCGCACTCTTCAGCCAGGTGCTGGCTCTTGTGAGCGCTGCATCTGCGTCTCCTCCTATCTTTGTGTAATGCACTTTCAAGCCCAGACTCTGAACACACACATCACTCGTAGATCACGTAGATCAGTGATCGAAAGCTACATTAGCTGTGTCGGGGACGCATTTTCGTAACATTCCGCTAAAATAATGCGTCTTTTACGCATCAGTAATTGCAATCGCAGCTGTAATTTCAACTATGGGACAATAAATACACACAGGAGAGTGAATCATCCTACTCTCTGACAATCTTTGGCAGTCCCTGTGTCAGCGTGTAAGCAAAATAACTTTACTGTTGTGGCTGTTTTACCTCACGGGAGACCGCTCGAAGATCCGATTGGACACCAACTTTCAAACACACGTAGAAAATTCCCCAAAAGTCACACAGACAAAACAAAACTAGCGCTGTAATGCCTGAAATGTGTACTTCACGGAGAAAAAAAAAGTAAGTCGCTACGTTTTGCCGTTCATGAGAAAATTGAACATTTATAAAACATGTGCGCAGGAGTCGGATCCGACGCTCTAGACCCCAGAGGGTTAAAGTGTATTCAGCACAAACAGAAAAACAATAAGTGGTAAATATCGGAGACAAACATCAACGATTTACAACTGCAAATGCAACAGACGCGATAAGATAAGAGTGCAGATTGAACAGTCCATGTGCAGGTGAGAGGGGAGTGGTTGGAACAGTCCATGTGCAGGTGAGAGGGGAGTGGTTGGAACAGTCCATGTGCAGGTGAGAGGGGACTGGTTGGAATAGTCCATGTGCAGGTGAGAGGGGAGTGGTTGGAACAGTCCATGTGCAGGTGAGAGGGGAGTGGTTGGAACAGTCCATGTGCAGGTGAGAGGGGATTGGTTGGAACAGTCCATGTGCAGGTGAGAGGGGAGTGGTTGGAATAGTCCATGTGCAGGTGAGAGGGGAGTGGTTGGAACAGTCCATGTGCAGGTGAGAGGGGAGTGGTTGGAACAGTCCATGTGCAGGTGAGAGGGGAGTGGTTGAAACAGTCCATGTGCAGGTGAGAGGGGAGTGGTTGGAATAGTCCATGTGCAGGTGAGAGGGGAGTGGTTGGAACAGTCCATGTGCAGGTGAGAGGGGAGTGGTTGGAATAGTCCATGTGCAGGTGAGAGGGGAGTGGTTGGAACAGTCCATGTGCAGGTGAGAGGGGAGTGGTTGGAATAGTCCATGTGCAGGTGAGAGGGGAGTGGTTGGAACAGTCCATGTGCAGGTGAGAGGGGAGTGGTTGGAACAGTCCATGTGCAGGTGAGAGGGGAGTGGTTGGAACAGTCCATGTGCAGGTGAGAGGGGAGTGGTTGGAACAGTCCATGTGCAGGTGAGAGGGGAGTGGTTGGAACAGTCCATGTGCAGGTGAGAGGGGGGAGGTTGGAACAGTCCATGTGCAGGTGAGAGGGGAGTGGTTGGAACAGTCCATGTTCCAGAGGGGGAACCCGGATGGAGCCAAACACAGCGGCAGGTCAGACCTTGTGGATGAGCAGCGTCCCGCACAGGCCTCGGCGTCCTGCTTTCCCCGGACACGTGAAGGCGCAATCCTCCCCCACCGTCACCATGGCAACAGGAACGCCCCGCCCCACGGCCTGCTCCAATGCCACGCCGAAGTTCAGACGATCCCCAGTGTAGTTCTTCACTATCAGGAGGACCCCAGAGCACCCTGGGGGGAGAGAGGGGGAGGCTGAGGGGGAGACTGAGGGGGAGAGAAGGGGAGGCTGAGGGGGAGAGAGGGGGAGACTGAGGGGAGGTTAAGGGGGAAAGAGGTGGAGACTGAGAGGCTGCGAGGGAGAGAGGGGGAGGCTGAGGGGGAGAGAGGGGGAGACTGAGGGGAGGTTAAGGGGGAAAGAGGTGGAGACTGAGAGGCTGCGGGGGAGAGAGGGGGAGGCTGAGGGGGAGAGAGGGGGAGACTGAGGGGAGGCTGAGGGGGAGGCTGAGGGGGAGGCTGAGGGGGAGAGAGGGGGAGACTGAGGGGAGGTTAAGGGGGAAAGAGGTGGAGACTGAGAGGCTGCGGGGGAGAGAGGGGGAGGCTGAGGGGGGGAAAAGGGGAGACTGAGGGAAGGCTAAGGGGGAGAGAGGGGGAGACTGAGAGGCTGAGGGGGAGAGAGGGGGAGGCTGAGGGGGGGGAGAAGGGGAGGCTGGGGGGGGAGAAGGGGAGACTGAGGGGGAGGCTGAGGGGCACAGAGGGGGAGACTGAGGGGAGGCTAAGGGGGAGAGAAGGGGAGACTGAGGGGGAGTCACACCTGTGTGGTACAGGTGCAGGATGATGGACAGAACAGCAGCTGAAGGAGGAGAAGAGAAGACTCCCCCGACCACAGCCGCAGACAGCATCCCCGCTCCCACAAACCCTGTGGACAGTACAGGTTATTAGTATGGCACAGTATGGCACAGTATAGCACAGTATGGCACAGTATGGCACAGTATGGCACAGTATAGCACAGTATTGTACAGGTCATAGTCCTCACTCCCCCCTCACCTCCATGGGCAGCCTCATGTCCTGCTCCTCCCCCTCTCCCCCCCTCTCTCCTCCCCCCTCACCTCCATGGGCAGGTTCATGTCCTGCTCCTCCCCCTCTCTCCTCCCCCCTCACCTCCATGAGCAGGTTCATGTCCTGCTCCTCCCCCTCTCTCCTCCCCCCTCACCTCCATGAGCAGGTTCATGTCCTGCTCCTCCCCCCCTCTCCTCCCCCCTCACCTCCATGAGCAGGTTCATGTCCTGCTCCTCCCCCTCTCTCCTCCCCCCTCACCTCCATGGGCAGGTTCATGTCCTGCTCCTCCCCCTCTCTCCTCCCCCCTCACCTCCATGGGCAGGTTCATGTCCTGCTCCTCCCCCCTCTCTCCTCCCCCCTCACCTCCATGAGCAGGTTCATGTCCTGCTCCTCCCCCTCTCTCCTCCCCCCTCACCTCCATGAGCAGGTTCATGTCCTGCTCCTCCCCCTCTCTCCTCCCCCCTCACCTCCATGAGCAGGTTCATGTCCTGCTCCTCCCCCTCTCTCCTCCCCCCTCACCTCCATGAGCAGGTTCATGTCCTGCTCCTCCCCGTCTCTCCTCCCCCCTCACCTCCATGAGCAGGTTCATGTCCTGCTCCTCCCCCTCTCTCCTCCCCCCCTCACCTCCATGAGCAGGTTCATGTCCTGCTCCTCCCCCTCTCTCCTCCCCCCTCACCTCCATGAGCAGGTTCATGTCCTGCTCCTCCCCCTCTCTCCTCCCCCCTCACCTCCATGGGCAGGTTCATGTCCTGCTCCTCCCCCTCTCTCCTCCCCCCTCACCTCCATGAGCAGGTTCATGTCCTGCTCCTCCCCCTCTCTCCTCCCCCCTCACCTCACCTCCATGGGCAGGTTCATGTCCTGCTCCTCCCCCTCTCTCCTCCCCCCTCACCTCCATGGGCAGGTTCATGTCCTGCTCCTCCCCCTCTCTCCTCCCCCCTCACCTCCATGGGCAGGTTCATGTCCTGCTCCTCCCCCTCTCCCCCCCTCTCTCCTCCCCCCTCACCTCCATGGGCAGGTTCATGTCCTGCTCCTCCCTCTCTCCTCCCCCTCTCTCCTCCCCCCTCACCTCCATGAGCAGGTTCATGTCCTGCTCCTCCCCCAGACACCAGAGCCACTTTCCCGCTGAGACTGGTCAGGTCTGACCTCACCACGGTCCTGATGTCCTGCAGCAGAGAGAGACCAGGACTGGACCGGACCAGACCCAGCAGAGCCTGGTCCACACACGCCTCCACCTGGTTCAGCAACTTCTGAGGCCTCTGCAGAGGAACCATCAACTGTTAGAACCATCGACTGTGAGAACCATCGACTGTTAGAACCATGTGTGACATCACAGGAGTCTGAACTCAGTCCTGGGTCTAGAGGCTCAGTCCTGGGTCTACAGCCTCAGTCCTGGGTCTAGAGGCTCAGTCCTGGGTCTACAGCCTCACTGCTAATTTACACATCACGTTACAGCACGTACGCGTTATACGCGCAGCAGACGCGCGTAACTTTTTTCCATGTTAACCTATGATGATATTTACACTTCTAGCGTTATACGCGCGTATGACGGACATGTGACGCGAAGCTGCGCTCTAATTCGGGCGTTCTGCTCTCCCAAAATTTCATCCACTGAGCGGCGCTGTGATCAAAAAATGACACCGTTTGTTGCCCAGTTCACTTCCGGTTGATTTCATACAATGGCGAATATGGCTCACGAAAACAACAAGCGATTGACAGTGCCTGAATTGCATGAAAGGTTGAAGCGAAAGGGTATTTGCAGTGTGGGAAAACGAAAGGAGGAATTGTTGTTGCTAGTTCAACGAGCGGATGGTGTTTATGAAGATCTAGAAGAAGATGACAGCGAGCAGAGTGAACGAAAACGGCTGTGTGTGCGAGTGACAGATGGTAACAATGAGAATGAAGTTCAGCTAAGAGGGAAGAATGTGAATTGGACGGATGATTTGCGCGATATGCCACTAGTTAGAGACGGGAATGTATTTGCATACAGAAAATGACGAAAACACTCAACCATTTAGAGAAAATGCGCCGGGCAGAGAGAACCGGAAGTTGCGAAGGCAAGTGTTACCCATAATGCAACGCAAAATTCAGTCGCTCCCCCGCCCATCGGATGGAATTTTGGGAGAGCAGAACGCCCGAATTTAGGATGGATTTCTAATTTTGTGCGCGCACCAACGCGTCTCCCATTGAAATCTCATGTAAAACATGATTTTTCTAGCGGTCCTTGGCTCTAGATCGCAGTATACGCACACACAGCACTTGTGTCTAAACATCAGCAGGAGGAGCAGCAGGTTTTACAGTGATTCTGGACATCGTTTTTTTTCTTTCATAAAGTCTGGCGTCTGGCCAAACCAGCACAGAGACCATGAAGACAAACACATGCATGTGATTTGTGTTGCTCTACATCAGTCTCTGTACTGTCCTCTACACTGCTCCACAGACTACACAGGGACAGCATCAGTCTCTGTACTGTCCTCTACACTGCTCCATAGACTACACAGGGACAGCATCAGTCTCTGTACTGTCCTCTACACTGCTCCATAGACTACACAGGGACAGCATCAGTCTCTGTACTGTCCTCTACACTGCTCCATAGACTACACAGGGACAGCATCAGTCTCTGTACTGTCCTCTACACTGCTCCATGGACTACACAGGGACAGCATCAGTCTCTGTACTGTCCTCTACACTGCTCCACAGACTACACAGGGACAGCATCAGTCTCTGTACTGTCCTCTACACTGCTCCATAGACTACACAGGGACAGCATCAGTCTCTGTACTGTCCTCTACACTGCTCCATAGACTACACAGGGACAGCATCAGTCTCTGTACTGTCCTCTACACTGCTCCATAGACTACACAGGGACAGCATCAGTCTCTGTACTGTCCTCTACACTGCTCCATAGACTACACAGGGACAGCATCAGTCTCTGTACTGTCCTCTACACTGCTCCATAGACTACACAGGGACAGCATCAGTCTCTGTACTGTCCTCTACACTGCTCCATAGACTACACAGGGACAGCATCAGTCTCTGTACTGTCCTCTGCACTGCTCCATAGACTACACAGGGACAGCATCAGTCTCTGTACTGTCCTCTACACTGCTCCATAGACTACACAGGGACAGCATCAGTCTCTGTACTGTCCTCTACACTGCTCCATAGACTACACAGGGACAGCATCAGTCTCTGTACTGTCCTCTACACTGCTCCATAGACTACACAGGGACAGCATCAGTCTCTGTACTGTCCTCTACACTGCTCCATGGACTACACAGGGACAGCATCAGTCTCTGTACTGTCCTCTACACTGCTCCACAGACTACACAGGGACAGCATCAGTCTCTGTACTGTCCTCTACACTGCTCCACAGACTACACAGGGACAGCATCAGTCTCTGGACTGTCCTCTACACTGCTCCACAGACTACACAGGGACAGCATCAGTCTCTGTACTGTCCTCTACACTGCTCCATAGACTACACAGGGACAGCATCAGTCTCTGTACTGTCCTCTACACTGCTCCACAGACTACACAGGGACAGCATCAGTCTCTGTACTGTCCTCTACACTGCTCCATAGACTACACAGGGACAGCATCAGTCTCTGTACTGTCCTCTACACTGCTCCATAGACTACACAGGGACAGCATCAGTCTCTGTACTGTCCTCTACACTGCTCCATAGACTACACAGGGACAGCATCAGTCTCTGTACTGTCCTCTACACTGCTCCATAGACTACACAGGGACAGCATCAGTCTCTGGACTGTCCTCTACACTGCTCCATAGACTACACAGGGACAGCATCAGAAGACGCGGACCTGCGCGCACGGTCAGTAAGTAAGTAAGTAAGTAAGTTTTTATTTATATACCGCCTTTTCACTGCAGATCTGAGTCTCAAAGCGGTTTACAATTGTTAATTTTGGGCATTTGTCTCTCACTCCACACAGAGATGGGAGCGGGGTCGCCAGTACAGGAGGCATATGCCAGAACTATTGGACATATTTTTAGTGGTAGGGGAAACCGGAGTACCCGGAGGAAACCTACGCAGACACGGGGAGAACATGCAAACTCCACTCAGAAAGGCCCTGGTCCGACCGGGATTCGAACCCAGGACCTTCTTGCTGAGAGGCGAGAGTGCTATCCACTCAGCCACCGTGCCGGTCAGTGTAGATACTCCAAAAAAATGTTACGCGCAGAGAGCGCGCAGTAAACGCGTACGCGCTGTTTACACCTACTGTGTAAATTCCCTGTCAGTCCAGGGTCTACAGCCTCAGTCCTGGGTTTACAGCCTCAGTCCTGGGTCTACAGTCTCAGTCCTGGGTCTACGGCCTCAGTCCTGGATCTACGGCCTCAGTCCTGGATCTACAGCCTCAGTCCTGGATCTACAGCCTCAGTCCTGGGTCTACAGCCTCAGTCCTGGGTTTACAGCCTCAGTCCTGGGTCTACAGCCTCAGTCCTGGGTCTACAGTCTCAGTCCTGGGTCTACGGCCTCAGTCCTGGGTCTACAGCCTCAGTCCTGGGTCTATGGCCTCAGTCCTGGGTCTACAGCCTCAGTCCTGGGTCTTGAACACATTAATAAGGGTGTCCCAATACTTAGGGAGAAGAGGCGAGGGCCTTCACAGCCCTAAAAACCACCCTTGAGCCCAAGTGAGGTCCGGAGCCCACTTGTGAGTGAGGGTGATCCCATGATGCATTAGGATAACTGTTGGTAAAGCAGTTGTCGGGCAAAGCCGCGCCACAATGAAAGAAAACAACATGAAACAGCCGGACGCAAGTTTGTGCGGAACATGAGCAAGCTCCAAAGCGTGTGTTGGTGCCGTGTGCGGTGACGTTCGCTCCCGAAGCGGCCGCAGCGAGTGGCGTTCACTGAGGCTTCAGAGACGTGGAACATGTTCTTATTATACAGTGCCTTGCGAAAGTATTCGGCCCCCTTGAACCTTTCAACATTTCGCCACATTTCAGGCTTCAAACATAAAGATATAAAAATTTAATTTTTTGTCAAGAATCAACAACAAGCGGGACACAATCGTGAAGTGGAACAAAATTTATTGGATAATTTAAACTTTTTTAACAAATAAAAAACTGAAAAGTGGGGCGTGCGATATTATTCGGCCCCTTGCGCTAATACTTTGTAGCGCCACCTTTTGCTGCAATTACAGCTGCAAGTTGCTTGGGGTATGTCTCTATCAGTTTTGCACATCGAGAGACTGGAATTCTTTCCCATTCTTCCTTGCAAAACAGCTGGAGCTCAGTGAGGTTGGATGGAGAGCGTTTGTGAACAGCAGTCTTCAGCTCTTTCCACAGATTCTCGATTGGATTCAGGTCTGGACTTTGACTTGGCCATTCTAACACCTGGATACGTCTATTTGTGAACCATTCCATTGTAGATTTGGCTTTATGTTTTGGATCATTGTCCTGTTGGAAGATAAATCTCCGTCCCAGTCTCAGGTCTTTTGCAGACTCCAACAGGTTTTCTTCCAGAATGGTCCTGTATTTGGCTCCATCCATCTTCCCATCAATTTTAGCCATCTTCCCTGTCCCTGCTGAAGAAAAGCAGGCCCAAAGCATGATGCTGCCACCACCATGTTTGACAGTGGGGATGGTGTGTTCAGGGTGATGAGCTGTGTTGCTTTTACGCCAAACATATCGTTTTGCATTGTGGCCAAAAAGTTTGATTTTGGTTTCCTCTGACCAGAGCACCTTCTTCCACATGTTTGGTGTGTCTCTCAGGTGGCTTGTGGCAAACTTTAAACCAGACTTTTTATGGATATCTTTGAGAAATGGATTTCTTCTTGCCACTCTTCCATAAAGGCCAGATTTGTGCAGTGCACGACTGATTGTTGTCCTATGGACAGACTCTCCCACCTCAGCTGTAGTTATCTGCAGTTCATCCAGACTGATCATGGGCCTCTTGGCTGCATCTCTGATCAGTCTTCTCCTTGTTTGAGATGAAAGTTTGGAGGGACGGCCGGGTCTTGGTAGATTTGCAGTGGTCTGATACTCCTTCCATTTCAATATAATTGCTTGCACAGTGCTCCTTGAGATGTTTAAAGCTTGGGAAATCTTTATGTATCCAAATCCAGCTTTAAACTTCTCCACAACAGTATCTCGGACCTGCCTGGTGTGTTCCTTTGGCTTCATGGTTCTCTCTGTGCTTTAAACAGAACCCTGAGACTATCAAAGAGCAGGTGCATTTATACGGAGACTTGATTACACACAGGAGCATTCTATTTATCATCATCAGTCATTTAGGACAACATTGGATCAT